GTGCGAACCTGCTGAATCCCACCACTGGCCAGGATCAGTGGTGGGATTCAGCAGGCCAACAAACGGTTCTGCAGAACCAATAATACATTAGCTACCGGTTCTGTAGAACTGGTGCGAACCTGTTGAATGCAGACAAGGAATGGGAGGGGAAAATCTTTAATTACCAAAAATCATTGCCATCCCAATGACTTTACTGGCAGCAGTGGTTTTCAGTAATTAGATACTCCCGCCTCCCTTTCCTCGCCCCCCATGGATTCGCAACAATGAAAAAGATGACTTGAACCCATACAGGCTTTATGTTTAATTTTCAAAAAATTGCCCTGGCTGATGACATCATCAACCTTATGCTGTGGAATGTACACAAAAAGTATTTCAACCAATGTATACTCTTCTCTGTTGAGTTTTAAAATATGAGATAACTTGCTTTATTGAAGACTAGTTTACATGCTACCACATCCTTATGGCAAGGTGAAGATGTGGATACAGCATAGTGATTGGTGAAATCGGGCTTAGGGTAGAGGAGTCATAGACTAAATGATGGACGCATTGATGTGATTGTCTACATGAACATTTTTCAGTTCCAAACCTACTACTGTATCTCTTTTCCTTACAAGAAGGCAGTTGAAGACATATGTACTTTCTCAGACTATTCACAGTTGGGCTCAGAGCCCAACTGGGTAATACCTGCTTTGAAGAAACAGTGGAAGGATTTCAAAGGCAATTAAGAGAATTTTAATAAGATTACAATAATCCATCAGTCTGTTTTTCACTTGATCAAAGTCTAAACCTCTGCTGAAATTTCTTGAAAATCTAAAATCTTCACATGTTCCAGCCTTGAATAGTGAGGGCTATGCATACATACTACACAATATTTGCCAAGTTTTAGTTCAGAAAGTAAAATTAGTTTCTTATAATTATAATGTTTTGCCACCTAATAAAGTATGTAGGCTATAATAATTTCTGTCATCCAGTTTAAGGTGGGGGTAGGGGAGCAGGGAAAAAAGGCTAACAATACAGTGAGGAAGAGTTCCCTGTCTGTTCATGTTAAATCTTCCACTAATTTCTCGTGTTGATTTTGTCATTGTCATTCAGTTTCTCCCTATGCATGTACTGGGCAGTGAAAACATTTATACGACTTACAAATAATTTGTCCTGAACATTTTTGTTTAGTCTTGAAATCTGTGATAAAATAGCTCCTTGTTAATTTAAAAAAATATATATGAATGGTTCATTTAGTAGATGTCATCTTGGCATGAACGAGGGAGTGAGGTGGGAGTAGTGTGACTCTTAATAAAATCTGTGAGTCCCTGCTCTCTCACATGCACCTGAGTTAGCCAAATCAGTCCCCCTGTAGCTTTCTCAACAATATATGTAAACCTGTGCCACAAAGGTAGAGTGCCCTCCCTTTAGTTTACGTGCTTTGAACAATTTGAGCAGTGCATATAGCTTTACAACTTTGGCTTCTGCACCACAGCAAATTCTAAAATCCTTGCAAAAAAGGTACAATCCTACACGTCTCTCTCAACCTTACACGTTCTTAGTTCTGAATATCGTGTTGTGTGATTACAGCCTCTAAATCTTTCTGTAATGCAGTGCTTCTGGTGTTTTGCATTTTCACGCTGATTCCTTTCTTTCCAGCACTTTGGGAAATAATGGCAGCTGCTGCTCCATATCTTTCTCTTCTTTGCCTGAACCTGAAGGCTGGATTATATGCTAAATAGAATCAATAGGATGCAAATTGAAGTTACTGTCTTTTAAACTCACAAGTAACTGCACTCCTGTTCTGGATTCGGTTCACTAAGTATAGATAGCTGGGCTTAAACACCTCTTGTCATTGCTCCTCTATATCTACCCCTTCCAAACAGGGGAGAAATGGCTGGGTGTACGCACACCCTCCAACAATGTATAAAGTTTTAGCTGCAAAGGGATTTTTGTGGCTGGCAAAAGAGTTGTGGAGAGGCTTGGGGATCAAATTACTGGTGATAGGTGTGAGAACTGCTGCTGTCCCATTTCCTACAGTTCACCTCTCTTCACCATACCCTGATTGGAAACATCCGTCTTTGAAAGACTTGACAGAGAGTATTGCTCTTCCAGTGTAGTTTTCATCGCATTCTGAGGAAGATGCGGCAACGTTCATAATCATCTGGAGATGCTGAAAACAGCGAAGAGGCTCTCCTCATCCAACTGTCTTTCAGGTCAGGTGTATGTGAGAGTGAGCAAAGATGCTGTACTCCAGTATCTAAGTGAAGATGCAACCTTGTCAAGGAACAGAGAATCTCCATGCCAACACTGCAAGTGGGCAGGGTTGTGGTGGTGGGAAGAAGCTGAACTTCAGAGACAGTTGTTTGCCTGGGAAATGCATTAATCTCCTAGATCACAATTTTAAGTCAATATACTATGCTAATTCTGCCTATGTGTGAAGAACTGAGGAGACGTTTCTTCAGTTGTAGGCCAATGCTGCATGTATTTCCCCCACATACTGCACTATAAACAGGGTTTCTCCACAATACAGTAGGATTTATTGATAGAAAATCTCAATTCAGCTTCACTTTTGTACATGTGAGAAACATGTACAATGAAAGAGTGTTGTCCACTGAATCCTATTATTATTATTTTGCCATTTTACTTGACAACATTTATTTTAATGTTGGGGCATTTATACATTGCAAAAAATGTATGTCAGGGTTAATATAGTTGGACTAATATTTTACTCTTGAAATGTTCACCTTCTAAGCTTGCTATTGCCCATGATAGTGTAGCTTTGTTAGTATTATAATAGCTTAACCATTCTTTCAAACCATAAACAGCATCTTAATAACACAGTGAGTTTTTTATATAGAGATCTACACAGTCAGTCAAGAATCTAATATGGTTTCTTTAAAATCCAACATTTGTACAGTACAGCAATAACATTTTATACATTTTTTTGGAATCCATTTTCTTGTGTGGGCTGTTACACATTGCTGAATAAAATATGAATTCTTGGTAAAATTTTTCTTCAACTAGAAAAAATGAAAGTCCCTACATTCTGGATAGATGCAGAGATTCTGGTCTGTCCAAGTGCAATGCAATTTGGTAACACCCTGGGGTCCAAGACTCATTACTTTGAGAGGAAAAAGCACCACATAAATGTGTGTTATATGATATGGCAGGACACAAGTAGGCAGGGGAGGATAATCACTATCCATCAATAATGGTATTATTAAAACAGAAGAAAGCCAGGGCTAAAACCAGTTGTTAGTCCCAGTTAGCATACTGTAAATTAGTTGAGTCAATGGGACTTGCATTAGTGTTGACTGAACAATTCCCATCCATTCAAGAGATCTACTCTAGTTGCAATTAAGAGTTGGATTTACCCTATAGAAATTGAAACTGCTTTAAAAATAATATCTAGTTTAACCTGCCAGAAACCCATGGCACAAACCTGTCCCAAATCTGTGCATTCTATTTGCCTACACATTTTTAGCTTTTAACACTCAAGAGTGCAGGTATAGTAAGAGGGATGTACCTCATTGAGCTGCTGAACCATTTGCTGTTGTTTCTTGTTTGGACGCTTGCTTGTTTTGCCTGATAGCGGTATTTGATGGCTTCCAGCAGGGGTTTTGAGATTCCCTGAACTTTTTGTTCTAGACAATTGCTGTCTGTCTTTACTACAGCCTTTTAGTTCTTAAAAATCCTATTGTCATCCCTGCCCTCCATTAATATTAATCTCTTTGCCACAGAACAGCACACACTTACATAATGCCTTCTTTTAATAAACACTTTCTACATTGATCTGCCTGCAAGGAGTTCTGGGCAATTGCTGCCAAAAGAGAACCCATGTATATTGCAGAGCATTTGGGGACACAGGTAGGAGCCTGTAGTCATTTCACCTACTGAGTCCAACTGTCACTCCTTGCAAATAAGGAATTTATATAGCCCCGTGTGTGCCTGTCTCCACCACCAGTAGGGCATGACACAGGAGGGTTGGAGGTGAAGAGATACTGTTTTCCTAAATGCTTTGTGGGGCATCGCCAGTATTTTTGTTGACACCCCACACAACACCATGATAAATGGAAAAAGACAGCGTTAGGCAACACTTGTCAAGCTTGTCTTTGTGTCACAGATTAGTAGGGACCCATAAGAAACTTGATGGCAATATACTTGTTTGCTTAAGATAAACTTGATCCAATCAAGTGTGGGGATAATAAATCCACTTCTTTAAGAATGATGGACAGGTTCTGCAGCTGTGTGGTGCTCCAGGTCCTCCTCAGCGGAGTAAAGATATGCAAGTGAGCTCATTACCTAGGAGACGTGAGCTCTCTGCATTGTTGTGTAATTATATCTGTGTGAAAGAAGAGGGGAAGCTATGGGAAAGTTAGGAGGGGTCATCTCCCCGCTACTTATGAGGTCCCTTTTTTTCTAAAAGTGGTGTTTCCTCTGCCTGCTTTTGATTTACGGGAGTAGACATGGATTTAAACAAATAGGTCTCCTGCTCTCAGGTTTGTTGCTTGTCAACCGTTAGAGACAACGTTTGTGATCCTTCTGGGGGACATCTGAATGGGAAGCAGCATGGCAGATATGGGGAATACTGGAAATAAAAAGTTAATGGAATACACTGCAAGTCCCGTTCAGTGCCTTAAGGAGCACCATTACAATTACATGACAATTTCAACATCTGGACATTCAATACACCTATTTGTTCACTCACTCAACCCTTTCCCCTTCAAATGAATGCTGTGGTATGTACAATTAGACCCAGTCAAAATGTGGTTCTCCAGTCAATACATGAAAAGCAACCCAGGATAATGACATGCTTAAAGGCCTAGGCTTTAATTAAGTGACACTTCAATTGTTTTTAAAGGAAATGATAATTTAGTAACATCTAAGTGTATATTTAAGCTGAGTTCTGTTGTGGGAATAAAATATGAAGAATTAGGGTCTAAAATTGTGTGCACGGAAGAGACAAAATGTATTTACCATTTCTATGTACTTGAAACCTTTCCCTCTAATGTTCTTATCCCCCCCCCCGGTTTATATAATAGGACAGACATTTGGTTGTTATAGCCTGTAAAGGTTTGCCTGAAAATATTAACTGCATATGCTTATTTTTGTTCTACTAAGGTAGTAATTGTGAAACATGTTCTCACCTTGATGATAAAAGATCAGGCAAAGGGAAAACAATTATCACTGTTTAAAAACATTATCTGTTTCTTAAACCAACATGTAGTCTGAAACCTATATAATTAACAACAGAACTCTTTCCGGGAAGTCCAATTACGTGACCATCAGTTACTAGAAAATGAGGGTAATATTAATGTTGTCTTTTTCACAATAGCATCATGATACTATAGCTTACAGCAACTAAGCTGTATATGCCTTGCACTTGAATATCAGATTCTTCTGCCATTTTGGTTTGCCTCACAGTATTTGATTCACCAAGGATTATTGTATATCAGTTCTCCTGGCAAAGATCATACTCTTCTCCATTCCTTGTTGTATCCAAGATATTGCAGGTATGAAATCTGCAGACTGCTTGTGCAAAGACTGAATTAGTATCAAGTGACAGTGAATGTTATAAAATGTAAAAATGGTATAAGAGTGGTTTTATACTTACCAGTGACTATCACATAATGTACCCAAACCCTCCTCTCCAAACGGTATATTGCAACTTCCTCTGTTGCACTTAAATATATACATGTTGTTTCCCAAGGCTTCTGTGAGACCTAATTTTAAAATGTCTATAGATGATTGGTGCTTTTTACAAGTGGGGTATATCTGTGTCTCTTTGTGTGTGTCTCTCCGTGTGTGTGCATGGAATTGGATAAGACTGGCTTAAGTCAATTTACTATTCTCATTTCTTTTTAAAATTCCATGTAATTGTTTCGTGGCCAGCCACACAATTCTGCAAGATTAGTTCGCTACAGGTTTTCCTTCTGCTGGGAGATGGGCTCAGTCTCAAGACTGAGCTAGGAGTTGGCCCAGGAATATCAATTCACACTGGTGGACAGACCTACATAATTCAGGGCTCCACATGATCACAGCTTGTAGCCAGTACCTTATGGGACGTAGGGCCAAATCTTAATGGTCTGGCAAAGTTCACCTTATGCATATAATTTGGCTATAATTTGGAGATATTCCTAAAACTTGACGTAAATGGGAAAGGAATTATTCAGGAATTTACCTCTGCACTGGTACTTACAGAATTTCTCTCTTTTCACTGGGAAACAGTGATGGAACTTTTGAAAGGGTCTGCAATTCAAGAATGAAAAAGAAAGATTCTGTGTTTTGGACTGGACAATTGTGTGAGTCACTAATGGTCAGCTCACAATAATGAAGGAGGAACAGATTATGGAGTTTCCACTGTAAAGGAAAATCTGAACATACATATACAGTCTGAAGAAAGTTTGCAATGGGTGGAACAGTGTTGCCAGATTAGCTGTTGGAATCCTTGTACCTCAGACTCAAAATCTTTGGGTTAACCCTTCCCCCTCAATATGTTGGAACTGAACCGGAAAAGGGCGGAGGAGAAGAAGAGAGGAACACAGAGACTACATTGCTTAAAAGTTCTTCACCTCAAGCAGCAGCACCCTCACAGGTATCTACAGTCCTCCACACCTAATGTGACAGAAAGGAAGCACTCTGCTCAATGAGCTTCTCCTCCTCCTCCTCCTGCTCTTCTTCTTCTTCTTTTGTGGTAAAATCTTCCCTTCCCTAAGCAGCATGATGGCAACAAACAATTTACCTAGATAAACTGAGAGAAAAAGAAGCCCTTTTCACCACAAACAGCTGCCCTTGGTATATATACCCCCCTTTTTTTCTTTTCTTTATATATACACACCACTTTCAAGGCTCAGGATTGTACAGTAGCTCCCCTTCACCAGTTGGGGAATGTACAACACTAAAGAGAAAAATATTCTCTCCTCCACCAACACATCCATAAATATTTCCATTCACACTTTTGTTGACATTGTAGGGAGCGACTACCGTGGTGCCTTTTCCTCAGAACTACCTGCTACCAAAATTACTGCTGCACCAAGCAGCCCTGAATGCATGCTTATTAGTGTATAGGAGTGTGAAAGATCTCATGCTTCTGGTGAAGGCACACAGATGACAATTTGGTCATGTCTGGCAACACTGAGATGACATACGGCTGCACAGACATACACGGAAATATACACTGTGAATATGATGCATACATGGGGACATATATACACACAAACACACACACACACAAGCAAGAATGTGTATTTTGATGGAAGATTATTGGAAATAGACATTCTTAGCAGATATGGATGACAGATCAATTGTAATTTATTTTCTTTTAACACTGTATCATCATAAAGAAAACTGGTATAAATGAAAAAATCTATTTCAAATATCTACATCTAAAATTTTAGGCAGTGAAAAAGCACTTTGTTGACAAGGAGTGTGGAATGATGAATGTTAATTGTCAGAAACTGCTGAATGCCTTTTTTTTTTAGTTGCCACAAACAAATTCACATATCAGAACGAACAATACTGCTAAATATTCCGTTTTTGTTTTGTCTTGTTAAAATGCACAGGGGAAAGAAAAGAAAAAAAAAAGAAAAGGAAAAAAAAACAGAAAAAAAAACAGTCCCTCCCCCACCCCTGGAAATTCATACATATTTCAAAGTTTTGAAATTGAAGCAATATTTAGAACCATAGATGAAGAAACACTGTGGCATTGGTGTAATATACACAATGAACTTCTTTCTTTTCTTTTCTTTCTTTCTCTCTATCTCTCTCTTTAAATCTGTAATGTACATCAAATACTTTACAACAATGCATTAACAAAAGGCAAGAAACATCTTGCTGTACAGAGGAAACCCCGAATGCAACTTGAAGCCTAGATTCACAATGGATGAGGAGAGGAAACAAAGTGTGAGAAGCTGTCCCCCATAAGGATTGTAAACTGTTCGTTTTCTTGTGCTTAACTCTGGACCCACATCAGCTGTTACCTTCCCCTATTTCCTTCAGCCACATTCAATTTACAGCACAATTTATTTTAAACTCTACATACAAGGTCAACTGTAAAGCTGCCTCATCCCACGCAATATATTTCTATATCTATATATAGAGAGATAGGATAATATAGATACAGAAATAGATATACATTTCCCCCTTTCTAGTGACACTCCCGTGCTTAACTTCCAATTCTTTTAGCCATCTAAAAGTATCTTATATTTTCCACAATGATTATCAGGGCCTTCCTATGGAACAGGCTTGAACAAACTAAATTTGCAGGAAAGGAATGTCTCGTGGTATGCATGCACATGCACAGTTCCTGGAGCTGTTTGTCTTGCCCGAATCTCAAACCCAGGAATCTGGAGATGCTGGATAGTGACTTGTTTCATAATTGAGTTCACTGTAGGGCCGAGCAGCTGAATAGAAGTCGACGTAGTTGCCAGTGGACTTGAGTCCCAGATGCATATTATACTCGCTTGCAGGTGGGCGGTGATGCACTTGGTCCTCAAAGAAGGACTCATCATAGTTTCTGGTTGAATTCTGAAATGGCTGATACGGTTCATAATCCTTTCTAGTGGGCTCCTGTGGAACTGGCTGTGTTGAAACCTATCAACAGAACAATAAGCCTCAGCTTGTTAGGTAAGATGGGAAAGATGCTGCAAGTTAGGGTACAGGCATCACAATTCTGTTTCAGTGTTGCTTAGGAGTCTGTCACCTTTTTTTTTTAAAAAAGCCCACAGCATTTCAGCAGCTACATAAGAAATCTCTGAATCTTTCTGAATTAATTCCATGGTAGTACTTGAATCTATTGGGAGCCATAATTGTTTACATCTGCATTTATTACTGTTCCTAATAGATGCTTTGCTTAAAGGGATGGGTAAAGAGCACCGTTTTGTGATGACCTATGAATACACTCTCTGAAACAATATGAGATTACCCAGTACTTAGATCTCAAAGTCAGAAAAGTCTGAGAAACGCCTGGTACTGGGGGTGGGGAATCTTTAGTCGATGGACCAAATGCAGACCTCAAAGCCTCTCAGGCTCTACCTTCAGATTCTCTCCTGGACATCCTTCTTCTTCCTAGACTAAATCCTTTTCTAACCTTGTTCCTGGTTATCGATACTGTCTCTATTGTCCCGCTGCTCTCAGATTGATGAAAAAGGCTCATGCACAAATTTGAGAAGTGAAATGCTGAAATCTAGTGTCTAGGGATGGATTCTTAATACTCTTGACTTACAAGATACCTATTCAAGAAATTTTCAGGCCCTATGACATTCCTTACGTACAGTGTAAAAATGAAAGAAGTGTTTTTGTAATTATCAGGGTTTTAGTAATTTATGTAAAACGTTTCTGGGCATGTTATGCAAAATTAGTGTTCTTTCCCGGAAGTAAAGCACACATATACATAGAGCAACCACAGAAGGATCAGCTCAATGATTAAAAGACACTAAGAATCCATCTGACGTGACAGATGTTTAAATGTCCATGAAACAAAACAGTTTTTGCAACCTGCACAAATCATTAACAGAATAAGAAAATATATCACTCTCTCTCAAGGTCAGGGTTCTGGGGGTGGGTGGGTGGAGGGTGGACAATCCTTTGTCATCTGTGAGGACAAAATTATTAAGGATTTCCACCCCTAGTGATAAAATACTAATATCCAGAACTGGAACTACAGCTCAATTTTATAACAAAGCTAACTGGAATTCTATATTGATCAGGGAACCACATTAAAAAACTGTTGTCACAAAAATGCAAACACACATTTTCACGTATAAGGGCAAGCAAACTTACAAATAAATCTCTGTCAGAAATAGACTACAAACATACTCTTCATCCAGATCCCAACAAAACAATTCCTGCAACCCTTTAAAACCATATATTCTCTTTTTGCACAACTTACATTAGGTAAAACGTCAGGAACTCATTAAACATAGAATTGTAAAATTTGTGCAAGGGGCAAGTACCTGTAAGAAGTTTCTGACATTCATTAATATACTTCAAACCTATATACTTTTGGCAAATGAGCAAATCTATCCTCTGCTCCATCCTTTTATTTGTAAAGAAGGGCATTTATTTGTCATACACCACAAAAGCTGACATATTTCCAAAACGGAGATTCACGACACACTTTCACACATATATTTCTGACACTTGCTGATGTATATTATGGATGCCTGCACCTCCCTTCCCACCAAAAACCCCCAAATAGATGAAAATAAGAGTTTTCATAGTCTACTAGCATATGTGGCATTTATCAGAGCAGACTGGGAGCAGTGCAGAATTATGAAGCAATTACCGTATTTTTCGCACCATAAGACGCACTTTCCCCCCACAAAACAGGGGGGTGGGAAGTCTGTGCGTCTTATGGAGTGAAGAAAACAGATTATATTTTCCTGTTTTCTTCTCCTAAAAATTGGCGCGTCTTATGGAAAGGTGCGTCTTATGGAGTGAAAAATACGGTAGCTGTTTTTCAGAGTCCTCTATAATATTTGTAGGCATATTGAATCTATTTTTCCAGCAAGGCAAATAAACATAACATCATTGCTGCCAGACATTTTCCTCTACTTTACAAAGGCAGAGTGCTGCTACAGTAGATTAAGAGTACTGGACAAGGACTCAGGAGACCTTGGTTTAAACCCCTGCTTGACCATGGAAACTTACTGACAGGATGGCAATGGGCAACTTCTCCCTAAACATCTTACATACCTTAAAAACCCTATTAGGGCTGCTGTAAGTCAGAACTGACTTGATGGCAAATAACAACAACAGAAACTGCAAGAGGGAAATAATTGTTCATTTCCTTGCTGTTAGAAAGCTGCCAGGACAGGTTAAGGAAGACAGATAAAACCCATTTTTCCTAGCATTAAATACAGTGCAATGATTACTTATACTGGGACCTACAGGAGCACTCTTTTTAAAAAAGTGTCAGCTCTGGATAGATCCAGAGTAAATTACTCACAATTATTTTCTCCCAGTGACCGCAATGTGGCCAAGGGGGGTTTTGTGGACTGAGCAAGAAGGACTTAGGGTCTTATGAAAGTGAATCTTCCTGTTGGCTTCTCACAGGGAGTAAGCTTTATGTCACCCCAGCATCTTGTGGGTGGGGAGTGCGCCTTGCTCCAGTGGTATAATAGAGAGTTGGGCTAGGACTCGCTACTAGGCTCAGTGGATACCTGACATTACCTCACAGTGCTTTTGTAAGGATCAGATGGGAGGATTACTATACACTGTGCCTAGAGCTCATTTGAAAAGAGCTGGGGTTGAAATGAAAAAAATAAATAATAAAGGACTAACTTCAGGTGGATTGTATTACTGACAAATTAATAGTGGCTGAAAAACATCCTTTTTTATTTGATGGGGGAAAAGGGAAATTACATTTGGGAGTCTATCAAGAATCTACAGTGGTTGCAGAAGGGTCCCTTCTGCTCTAAGAGGCCCAGTGACTAGCTGGCTCTTTCCCATGACTTGTAAAAATAATTCACTGTTGTCTTCTGTGTAAAGGGCAAGAGGTTTGTTTTGCTACATACCTGGTTGTGTTTAATATCTTCAGCAGGTGCACCATAAGAGTTTCTGTACAAAGTAGAGATTCCAGTGTTCTGAGCTAAAAATGGGAGAAAAAAGAACTGTATCACTATACAAAATGTCATTTGTTTGCGCAGCATTCATAGAGTGGGATAATTCATTGTTAAACAAGTAAGCAAAACAATGACTATATTGGCAAACTGTAATGCAGATACATTAAAAAAAACTAGACAGTTCTGATCCTTAGAACAAAGCTTAAATTACCATAAGAATTCTGCCCCTCTGGAAACATGTGGAGACATGTTGCTGTTTTGTTTAGTCGTTAAGTCGTGTCCGACTCTTCATGACTTTGGAGACATGTTACAGGTGTATAAAAATTGTGTTGCAGTTACATTATGACAGATTCCCCCCCTTTTTTCTAATATTACGACTTGAGAGTCACTCAGTGAAGCTGATTGGCAGAAGATACAAGATGTTCTTACTTTTACAACACTTAATGACTTAGTAATTAATTTGGTACCACGGAATGGCACATTATCATTGCTAGAAAAGAAATACATGTTACAGCAATGTTACTGGAGGCATTAAAAAACATTAAAATTCAGACCTTTTATGTGAAAACAAAACTTCTATGAATGTAGGTTGGTTTTTTTTTAAAAGCACAACACACTCTCAAAATTGTCTAGGATATTATCCTTCCCAATATTGGAAAGGATGAGATTTCGAGAATCCTGACCTGGGAGGATGGATGTGCTACTCTCATGAACACATTATGAAAGTGTAGCTGCTACATAGCCCACTACTGACAACCGCTTTATAGCCTGAAAGAATCTTTGGGAACAGTAACACTGTGAAGCAGCTGTTAAAACCATTTGTCATCAAGGAGTAGCTGAATTCAGCTGTCTAAGATTGACCAGTAAGAGTGTAAATGATGAGATCACAGAGGAAGAAGAGCCTTATCACACAATATGTCAGGAATGCTTCGCTGTATCACATATTAAAGCCCAAATAAATGGATGTTCATATTACTGGTGGAGTCAAGATGATTCTCTTGTCAGAAGTAATTATTACTAGGAAGCACCAAGCCCCTGCTTTCCTACAATACATGGGCTGCTAGATTACCCAGGATGGTCTCCCTCCATCAATTCTATAAGCCATTTAATCTGAAAACTTTCCTACAAGTGCTAATTTATTTGTTTAAAACATCTGTACCCTGCTTTTCAGATTTGTCTATCTCTGCTAGAATTAGGATCAGGAAATCTCTATACTATCTTTAAACTGAATTCCTGGTGACAGGATTTTATATTTTGAAAGAGCTGTATTATGGCCATGTGGTGCAGTGCATAGAATGATGGACTAGGACTCAGGAGAGATAGGTTGAAATCCATGGTCAGGCATGAAATTTACTGCAAGGGTAGTCATGGAAAAATGCTCCTTTAATATCTCGCATAACTCAAAAATTCTATTACGGTTGCTTGAAGTTGGAAGCGAGTTTATAACACATTACATGTACTCACACACACATACACACACACAATGGCAGGAACAGTGGTAAATACAGTTGTGGTATTAAACAGTTACACCATTACTGGATGAATATGGTCATAATAACCTTGAAGCCTTGAGACCACCTGATTCCACTGGTTCATCATTGCCTTGCCTACTATATCCCTCATTTACACCCTGGAATAATGTGAGGACTGTAAAGACTTAAGCCCTGTTTCCCTCATTCTAATTCCCTTCTTTGTTGTATTTTTAGCAACTCACCTGATGGAGGGACAATGTTCCTAAAAGCCTGTGCATTTTTGTGTGCTTCTCACACTTTTCTGCCTTTCTAGTTGGCTTATAAAGGTAATATCTCATTACAGAGTTTGGAAACTGCTTCCACATAATTACTTTCTCAAGCTAGTGTTTCTATTTTCGGAAAATCAATGTCAATATTTGAAATGCATTTGAGGAGAAACAGAATTACTTCCCTTTGTGTAAGAATACCAGTAAGTGTATGGAACATTGCTGAGTGACTGTTACTTCTCACAACTATTTTTGTGATGCAACTGGTGACACAAACTCTTTCCCTATATCAATTTTTGATACATACATTTATTTAATTGGGTTTTGGGCAAGAATATTGTAGAGGTCATATGCTCTCTTGTTAGAATAGTAAAACATGGAACTGTCCATGTAGGAGTTTAATAAGCAGGAGCACAGATAGAAACACTGCTATTGGACACTTCAGTTCCCAAAATCTCACAGTTAAGTGTTGTCAGGGACCATGCTAGCTTGGGGATTTGGGGAGCTCTGGAGGGAAAGCTGGCCTCATAATTCCACTGACTCCTAAATTCTTGGCAGAATTGCAGACCAATCTATGTATGGCTTCTGGAGGAAATACTTTTGCCTTGTCATACTTCTATGTTTATAGTTCAATGGAATGATGGTGTTACATTGATTGAGGCCTTTGAAACAAATAAACAATGATTTGTTTGCTGATGTTCTCCTATTGATTCCTAGTTGGAAATTTGCAGAATAGTAACCACAGCTATTTGTTTTCTTCCCGAGACCTTCATTTGAAGGCCACAAAGATTCAGTCTTGCTTTCCCTTCCTCCCAATGAGTATGTGAGGCCAGTTTATTGATGTGCTTCAATATTTGAAGAAAGGTGTCATTGCTGATAACTGACACAATCATCATCATCATCATTGTCATCATCTATGTATGGGTCATCGAGTCCAGCCCCTGTAAAGGAGGCACATCAAACATAGTTGCTCCAGTCTTGGCACTTTCCTTGTCTTTTGAATGGAGGGGCTTGATAACAGATTTGTGATATAAAACTGAATCTGAAGAAAGGTCAGTTGGGTCTGGTAATGTGGAGAATGGTGTATGTAGTGAACACCGTCTTCCTATATATAATAATAATATTGGCCTGCACCAATGGGAGTTGTTGGGAGGTGGAGCCAGAGAAACTAGATTGGAGGGTGAGTCAGAGACTAGAGAGTTCAGTCAGAGAAAGAGTTTAGGAGTTTTGAGGCAGAGAGAGTGTTTAAGGAGTGATTAATCAGAGTGTGACCTGTATTAAGATAGAAGAGGTTAAAGTAAAATACTGAAGCTTTGTGTAAATTTAAGAATATGATTAAGAACTATTCCTACAACAACTTATAAATAAACCTGTTTCTGTTTAAAAGTGCAGTACTGAATGGACCTTAGTCTTTCATAGGAGATATAGGTTGATAAAGTGATCAACTCGTGGCAGCGTGTTAGAGGGTGTGTTGAGATACTCATGTGAGCCCTGTGTTTGGTGAAACAAGCAGGGGCCATGAGGTAAATGCAACAATTGGTGTCCAGCGGTGGGATACGAAATAATCCAGTGAAGCCAAGGTTTAAAACTGAATTTTCTGGAGTCGTGGGTACTTTTTAGTCAGAGGTCTGTGGTAAAGAAGTGGGTGACCTTCTAGAGCATTTGTGGAAATGCTTAATGGGGGGCTTCTGAACCCAGATCTGGGGGAACTAAAGATTTGTGGAAATGCTTAGTGGGGGGCTTCTGAACCCAGATCTGGGGGAACTAAAGATAGAGAACCATCTCTAAAGGAAAAATTCTTTTTTGTTTACCTCAGGATTTGAGAGACCCAATGGGCTAGCTTGAAATCCAGGGCTCTGAGAGATAAGGAACAGTGTTGGATAAGAGCGAAAGCCTGGGTCAGAGCACATCTGAGGTGATAGGAAAATAAAAACAGAGGCTTGAAAATAAAATTATTTTGGTGTCTGAGAGCAAGAATAGCTCAGTCATAGAGAGACAGTAACTAAAAGGTTGTGAGCTAGAGAACTCCTGAGTGAAGCAGAACAACATAGTTACTGGAATAAACAGCAGAAAGACAGGTCCTTTTAAAAGGGTATACAAACATTAAAGACTAACTCAGACTTAAACATGCCATTCAAACGTAGCCAAAAAGGGAGTCAGGAGGCAGAAAGTTTATCCCAGGAAGTGGAGGGAAATGGAGATCCTCTAGCTCCAGTGAAACAGGAGGAAACTGATGAAAATGCCCCAGAAAGACAAGGTGTTCTTCCCAAGATTTTGAAAAATGGAGGTTAGGAATTCAGGCTTAAAGAATTGGAGATCAGAGAAAAAGTGAAAGCTGAGCAAGAGGCCAGAAAAATGGAAGTAAAGCAGAGATAAATGAAATTTCAAATCCAGATGAAAAAATTGGAATTAGCTGCTAATGAGAATAATAACAACAACGATAAGAAGAACTCTATTGAGGGAAATCTCTCAAAAATCGATCTAAAGCATTTTCTCCAATAAAGGAAAGGAGATTGCCCTGAATCTTTTCTGATTTTATTTGAGAGAGCGTGCTGGGACTTCAATATTAAGGATGATGAAAGGATGATAGTGTTGAGATCACAAATAAGTGAAGATTTAGCTGAACTTTATTCTCAGATGCTTCTGAAGCAAGCTAGAGATTTTGAGGCATACAGAAAAATGGTATATTCTAGTGGTTGTTGTGGGTTTTTTGGGCTCTTTGGCCATGTTCTGAAGGTTGTTCTTCCTAATGTTTCACCAGTCTCTGTGGCTGGCATCTTCAGAGGACAGCACTCTGTGCTCTGGTGTAGTTTGCTTGTGAGTATATTCTAGATTTGGCATAAATGCAGAACACCTTAGAAGAAGATTGTGTTCACTTACCAAAAAGCCTGAAGAATCTTATGCCCAAATGGGGGCTAAATTGATTCAATGTTTGGACAAATGGATGGAATGTGAAAATGTCACTTCTCTAGACCAAACGAAAAATGTGGTTGGTTTAGAACAATTTTATTCCATTTTGCCTGGGGAATTGCATTATTTAGTCAAAGACAAAAATCCTAAAAATGTATTACAGGCGTCTGAATATGCTGACCCCATTAGTGAGATTAGGGATCCTAAGTTTTCTGAGGTAAAATTTTACAGGCAGAACTGGGACAACATTAAGAAACACTTCAATAAAAATTACAACAGTAAAATATCAGGGAAAGATGGCCAGCTTAGTACTTCACCTAAGTTGCCACTGCCTAGTCCACAGAAGTGAATGAACCCTGAGGAAAAGTTTGACAGATC